AATAGGTTTTTAGGGATTCAATCAAATTCAGTTTTCATATAATTTTCTAATGTATAAAACCAAATATGGAAAAGCCAAAACCATTTCCCTTACATTTTCCCCTTTCTCAAATCAATAACACTACAAAAACCGACTTTTGACACCAAAGTTGACACCACCAAAGGCATCATCCTTGGCATTATTGTAGCATGGTTCTTCCAAAATCACAAAAAACTAACTGCAGCATTTATGAGTACATTTTTGCTCTCCCATTCGTGATTGAAAGCCAAATACCACTGCTGCAAAAATCACCAGGCACAGCAGCAAAACTATACTGCAAGCATCTTCGGTTGAAAAAGGTTGAAAAAAGTTTGGGGCAAATATGGCGTGATTTCAGCTTTTTTGAACCTTACCACACATTTTAAGAGAAAAACAATGGAAGCAAAATCACAGTCATTTCTAATAGTCCTCTTTTCTGTTCAAAAAAGATAATAACCATAGCACAAGAAAGATAAGCTTTCCAACAAACATCGATAGAAATCATTATAGCTTCATAGCAATTGGGGATTCAAACATTTCTTTTCCTAATCTTGCCTTTACCGTGACCTTTCTTCTTAGCCAACTTGAGCTTCTTTTTCATCTTCTTTCCAATAGGTTTCAACTTCATATTTTTGTCTTTGTCTGTCATCTCAACATCTGCAAATCAATAGAGGCAATTTATCACAACTATTTTTCGTTGGAACAGAAAATTTGAATCTATATGGTAAGGTCCCTTTCCATTTCATTCCATTTCTATTGCTATACTTTTAAATGAAAGAAACAAAATAGTGGAACATCACCACTATTTTATTTACTCCGTATTTCATTACATTTATGGGCATGATGTAAGATGGACATTGTTCTTCTAGTACACAAAGTGGCAAACTAAACAATTTCCAAACAGGTTGACTCGGAACTGAATCAACTGATTAGAATACAAAAAAGGATCGTAAAAATAGACCCAATCCATTCCAAAAGGAGTCATAGTTGGTCAAAGTAAAACCTTTTAATTTTGGTGAAGTACATAGACTTAAAGATAACAAATCTTACTATAATCTAGAATCTTTTTAAAACTATTTGTTGGTCCATCCTCATTATCATCACCTTAATCTCAACAAATTGGGTTTAGTGGCATTAAATTTTTAGTGCCAATTACTCGTTTAAAATTTACTAGCACTATAAAGTCATGCAAAAAGCAAAGTGTCAATGTTTTGTGTCAGATGCCCTTCTTTTCACAAAGGAATAATGAGATGCAAATTCCTTAGCCTTCTTACCGTCATTGGTTATTTCCTCATGCATGTAAAATACAATGAGACGATGATGAGTTGAGATATTTGCTATCGCATTGTTCCAATACAAGACAAGATTGAACATTATTAGTTGGTTGAACTAAGTCTTATCTAATGGTTTGTAATCTTTTTTGGAAAACTATAGGAAATATTAAATTCATTTGATAATATTACTCATTTTTTTAATGAAGCATTACTCCATATATATTGAAGTCCTTTGAACACAATGGGAAAATGACATAAGGGCATTAATACACACTCCGGCCACATATATAAACAAAAAGTAGCACATTACAGTTTACACACATCCATTAAAATCGTGTGAACAAAAGCGTGAAGGATGCTACATATTAAATTTGTGTAACCGGAAAAAATATATGAATTTGACAGTTTCACTTTCACCAGTTGTGTACTCTTCTTGTTCTTGGCTATGAATGCAGTCTTATATTCTACGCTAAATTGGACAGCAACATACAACACTCATAGAAAAAATCTTAACTACTGCCTTCTATTTTCTTGGATCGCTATATAAATGGTAACTTTATTCAACATCCTGAGTATTCCACATTACATCATTGTGTAGTTCATGTGCTTGAATGGCAGTGGTCTTTATTCTATAGTTAATAAAGATGAAACTCAAAGCAAACCATATCATTTTGAATTTGAAGGAGAATCTAAATCTCTAAATGAACATAATACTCCGTATCTATCTATATAAAGCTCTGTGACTCAAATATTAAAACAACCCCAGTAAAATCCCAAATAAATTAAACACTTCTCGAAGAAACAGAGCAGAAACACCTACAGAACTTCATAACAAGGGAAAAAAAATTCAAAAAAAAGAAAGGAACTAAGAGGGGAAGAAAGAGAAGTACCCATATCGTTATCCTTGCTGCTAGAGATGGACGTCCCGGATACTGCCGCCATATCCATGGGCGTATTTGGGGTGGATTGGGAGCGGACGGGAAGCTTAGGGGCAGCAAGGGCAGCTTCTTGGGCAGCGAGCTTAGCGGCCTCTTTCTTCAGGGTGATTGGATCCACAGACAAAATCTCTCTTCTTATGGATCTCAGCCTCTTCTCCCTCTTAGACCTCATAGACTTCGCCATTGTTTTCCGCACTTAACAGTCGGCGATTTTGCTGGGGATAAAGAGCTTCCGATGATGAATATGAGGCTGTCAAATATTCGATCTTTGGCGAAAGGGAGATATTGGGGAAACCCTAGGACTGAATGCGTAGATAGAGATGACAGCAGGGCCGGGTCACTAGACCACTTGGCACCCACGGGTATTATTTAAGATGATCCGGCTGATTCTTTGATTTATCATAACATTATTTTTATTTCTAGAAATCATGTTCATATTATTCATAATTGATTGATATCCAAAATGGAGTTTAAGAGTTCAAAAATTAGGCTTTTTGGAGAAACATCAAATCAGACGGTACCTCGGTACCGATTAACAGTACCTCACTACCGTGCCAAGGGTACAAGTACCACCGGTCATCAGGTACCGCTAGAGAGAGGTGATTTTCATGGAGGTGGCGGTAGCTAGCCTACCATCCCGGCGGTACGGCCTATCGTGCCAGCGGTATCAAGGTACCGTCCGGACGATAGCTGGCTACCGTTCTGCGCATAATTTTGAACAGTGTCATCTTCAACCCCGTGCCAATTTTCAGAAATGTCATTTTTAGTCACCAAACTTCAAATATACTATATAGGAATGTTCTCCAAAGTTCATAGATCATTTGGGTATCATTAGTTCATAGTTTTAATAACAATCTCAAGGTTTATGATCCTTAGTTCTTCAAACATGTCAAACACAAAACTCAACCAAACGACCGTTTATGAACGTAGAAACGATCTATAAGAACATTCTAGTTACTAGATATATCTACGAGCTTACCTCGAAGCTAAACGATGATTCCGGTGTTTGAACGATGAAACTATCGGCGAACACTACAGCTTGCTCCGGTGACTTCACACGAAATTGACATCACCACAATACTCTCTACACTCACAACTCTCTTTTGGAAGAAGAATGGTGAGAAATGGTGAAGGTTTTGAGGTGTTTATATAGGGGAGGATTAGAGAAAGAAGCCATGGGTGATGATGTTTGATTCCTGTTTCAGCGACTGAGTAGAGAAGGAGGCTGATTTCTACGGGTTTTAAACGTAAGTCCCTGATTGGGACTAATTTCAGTCCCAGTCAGGGTACACTTTTTGGTCCAACTTTCTCTGAACTGAAATCCGTTTGCACTGTTGCGATCAGACAGTTAAATTCTATCCAACGATATACTTTTTATATTTATTTGTAATACTTTTCTGACATCTAATTTTTGGGTGTTTGACTTTGACAGAGTCAAACTTGATTTAGTTGGCCTTTATTCAAAAAGGTTCTCACATTGAATTTTATATTACTTATTCTCATAATTTATTTCAATAAATCATTCCAATGGTTACATCATAAACAAATTCTTCATTTATTCTTAATTTGGGTCTGTACTGAGGTTCTCAATTAAGATCACATAATAAGTCAACATATTAGATTTATCTCAATGAGACTTATCTAGATTGTGATATTGGATATCAAAATGTCTTTTATTTCGGCCCAAAGCCTAGCAACAATTTATTTTTAATCAAAACAAATTTGATTAATTGAATAATTATTCATTAATAATACTAGGGTATGTTTTGGGGCGTTACAAACATTATACATACTGAATGTTTGGAATTGGATCGTAGTCTGTTGTTTCCTAGCTTTCCCGACGTCAGACAGTAGCTTAGTATCACCTAACGATACTTTGCTATCGCTACAAACGGAATTTCGCTGCCATTACATGTTCCCGGACGATAGGTTGGTACCGGTCGGCGGTACCAAGGTATGGTGGAATCAGGGTACCGTAACAGGTAAAATGTCAAGCCTCTCTCAACCCTTTGTCTGCTTGTTTTTTCGGAATCAAGTAACGATTGGTTCCGAGACCTTATTTGTTTCATGACGGTAAGTGGACGGTATTTACACCCAACACTGGGCCGCTAACTATATTACATGACTGATTATTGTTATTTTTCTTGTTTTAATTTAATACAATCTTGATGTGTTTTGAAAGCAAATAACAAATTGTGGTCGTTGTTTGTAAAAGTTTGAATATATGGAGATGTTATAAATAAATGATTAGGCTACCTAGAGGAACTCTAGGGCTGCTCTAGTGTGATTGTAAGTATAAATGTCAATAGGTAGAATCAACCTTGCGGATTTGATATCTAATGGCTATGAGTTAAAACGTACGTATGGGATCTATTAGTTGTCGTTCCGAAGGGGTTATGGGTACCACCCACCAAGCGGAAAACTCCTTTGTTGGTAAAGTCATATTGTATTGTAGTATGTTGTGTCTGTGTCTATTTCCAAATAACCTTAGCCTAGAATAGGTTATGAGCGAGTGTTAGAGATGGACTTAGATGAGAATAAGGATGTTGATTTGATAACTGATGCAACGAAATAAACAAGGTAAGTAACATTATGTGTGATTGATATGATATTGTTGATATTATTTGAAGTTATGTGATATTTTTTGAGCATGTAATGCTATGAATGAATGTGTATGTTGAAATAACCGTATGTGTGACTTCTACTGTTAAAACCTCTCACTCACCGTGAAAGCTTAGCTTGTAGCTTGTTTTACTTGTTACGCGTAGGTAACAAGAAATGTTGAATAAGAAAGAATCCTGGAGGGCAGTGAGGATAAGGAGATGGATGGATGCTCGCTGCGGAGTTTGTTTAGTTAGTTTGAAATATCATGTTTTTGGGGAAGAACCCAAAATTGCGTTTTGAATTCAATACTTAAGCTTCCGCACCATTTTGTTAACTCTGATGGATATTTAAATATTGTTTTTGAATTAAATGTTAAAAATTATTTTGAAAATTATTGCGTTTAGATGTCAACCTAGCGACAACCTGAATGATCTGTTAGTCTCTGTATTCGGGTTACGCGGGTTAAGGTGTTACACAAATTTATACTGGGCTTGGGAACTCTTTACTCAAGTACCTTAAGGCTCCTCCTTAAGAATTTTCGAATCCACAAAGTCTTGGCCTCCTGAACTCCGTAAAAGCACTGTAATAGATTTGGCAAACAACCCTTGCTAATAGGATTCACCCCGAGATTTCACCACGGCTAACCGCTACAATGAAGATTTGCAGGCTATCTTCAACCTCCCCCCCAAGGATTTGAAGGTTGTTCTCAAACCTTTTACCAAAGCATTTCTCGGTTATCCTTAACCGTGTCTACATAAGGATTTATACGACTCTCCTCGACCATTACAATGAGTGAAATATGTGTTTAAGAGTACAAAAAAATGTTCCACACCTTTTGGCCTAATATAAAGAATAAGATCAATCTTTGGCCGATGAAGAACGGAGGTTGTACTCTCTAAAGTAATACAAGATCAACCTATAAATATGAGAGTATATACGTATGATCACAAGCTCAATGTGTGTGTATAAAATCAGAATAAAAACAAGGGTCTTTTAGTCAAAATATAAAGATTTAAGAACAAGAACATACTTTAGAATATGAGAATAGGAGATTAGAGTTTGGATTCTTGTTAGAATACAAAGGATTAAAGTCATATTTATATTGTAAAATGTTAAGTGTCTGTTTGTAGCCGCTGAGGATGAATTAGGAAAGATTTTGGCCAATTAAATGCGATTAGATATGACATTAGCGGAGTACCAGACGGACAGTAGTTGGGTATCGGACAAATGGTATGTTGTACCGGGTAGTCAGTAGCAAGGTATGGTTTAGTTCAAAATTATGTCGCGTAGCCTGTCTCTTTCGGTACTTGCTTCGGTACTAGGGTACCGTTCTCGCAGGAAGGTACCGTCTCAACGGTAGGGGGTCCGCCAAAATGAGATATGCTCTGGCATTCACTATCCCTTCTGGCACCTATTTTGGTATAGGGGTACCGCTTTAGTATGAAGGTTGTAGATCAGGTACCGCTCCACTTAGTTGGTATACTCATTTTTGGCTTATTCATTTTCACTTGAGTTTAAAATCTTTGGGAAGTTTGAAAATAATTATAAGAAGGTTTTAAAAATATTTTGTGAGTGCATTTGAGCTTGTAAATATAGGTATATAAAAACATATATTCTGCGCTAGTTTGGTGTTTCAACTTCGTTTTTTAGAACAATGTTTTATGGATTCTGGTTGTACCACTCAGACAACATTAGCTCATAGTCTCATATATTGTTTGTTAACATTAACACTATGTTTGGTTCAAGGGTTTTGGAAGGAAAAGAAAAGAAAATGTTTTTCTCTCAATTTCCTCAGTCTTCACCAAAATGATAGGAATTTGGTTTTTTCCTCCTCTTAGTATATTTTATCTTCTCATTTTCTTTTCCTTCCACTTTTCCTCTCTAACCAAACAAGAAAACATATTTTTCATTTTTTTTTCTTTTATTTTCCCTTTCAAATTTCTTGAACCAAACATAGTGTAAAATATGAGATTTAGCAAACCAAAGCTAACAATAAACCCAAATGAGTTTGCTCAAAGATAAGATATCAGACAATTTAGTGAGATATAGGGTTAATCTCTAACTCTTTTTTTTTACCAAATTCAATATATAATTATTTCCAAAATTTATTACATTTTGTTTTTTATACATAATGTTCAATCCGTATGGTCTTCTAAAGCACGTACTGTTTCAGTTTATAATATTTGACTGAAGTTATTTTCCGTTCAATTTATTTCATAATTGGAATTAAATTAAAAAAATAGAAATAATAACAAGCTTGTTTGATCCCAAACTGGATTGTACGAAACAAAGAATAACATGACTATTATTTTATCAAATGAGCAAAAAAAATAGAAAAAGGAAAATGAATAAAACTTGACATGTAAATAGTAAATATACAATTTAATTTAGGATGGAGGGAGTATATTCTTGTTCATTTATATTCCCTAATCATAATTTTTTATCTATTTCCTTAAAGCATAATTCTCATGACTGTACTCGTATTTAAAAAAATCACATCAAGACGGACTGGCCTCGAAAAATGAAAAAAATGAAATTGGCTCTGTTCGAAATTTATATTTTGGACTCTATTTTATTATTTTAGAATACTTATGCTTCAAAATTAATGATGAATTTAAAAATATGGGACCTTAAAATTTTAGGGGTCTTGTGCAGTTGGCCACTTTGCACACCCTCTAGGCCACCCATGCTCACATAGCTTCTCTTACAAGGTTACGTCTCGACCCGACAAAAGTGCGACCCAAACTTGAAATGATCCGAACCCGAAAACCCGTTAAATTTCACGTAAAAAAATATAAATTTGGTAAATTCCAGTCTCTTTCCCTCCCTCTCTCTCTCTCTCTCATTATTCCATTCTTCCACCATCCGTCGATATTAGGTGCCGACTCTGATGGTGTAAACTATCGACCGTTATATCGTTTTTAGCCGGACAAAAATGATAAACTAGTCTAAAAAATATACCAAAATATAAATACATGAATTTTGACGTGGAAACCCAAATCGGGAGAAAACCACATGCTTTTTTTGGCAGTACCTTGCCAACGGCGGAATTTTATAAATATCGAGGGTGTGTACATGGTACATGATTTAGGTTAGAAAGTCATCAATGGAAGCTTGAAAACTTATTGAAGAACAAAAATTATAAATTTCTAGAGAGAGAAAGTGAGATGTGCAGGAGGAAGTGAGTGTATTGGCCTCCCCATTTTGAGGGAAAACCCTCTCTTTAATAGGAGGGAGGGGGAGCATCTTCGGAGGAATATTCTCTTATTCCTTCATTTTATTTTGAGTGTTCTTCGTAAATAATTGGAAATGTGGACCGGCCACATATTATTTCCCATCAATAAGTCCTCCACTTTTTTAAGTTGTGAGAATCATCAACTTAAGAAAGTAAATCAGTCCTCCGAATGTTATCTGCAGTCTTCATACTTAGCATTCTTGACCGGTTGATATTGCTAGTCCTACGAGTCTTCATTAACTCTCTAATTTCTTGAATGAGATGTTTTCCTGCAACAAATAATACGTATAACTTTTTTTTGACTGGCCTACGGCGTGCTCAAATAATTATTATCTTTACCGAGGAGCTCGGTGTTTGGTGATTAAACCACACATGGATAACTATCGTAATGAGAGCGATGTTAGTTCGATGAAGCAACGATGCTTCAAATAGTAATTTCGTCGAGGCCAATGTTAATACGAGTCAAGCAAACGATGCGTGACGAAATTAGTATACTAATGACAACGACGTTATTTAATAAGAATTGAATACGATGCGGTAGCTTTGTTGAAGATCAGTGTTAGCCCGGCTGACTGATGTAAATATCTTAATGTCCTGCAGAGACCATCTTCGATAAAAGTGCCTCAGGTAGAAGACTTAAAATGAATCGGGCGTCCCCGATATGAGCTCAGCTCACTTTTTTGCTGAAACTGATGTGCGACCAGTGTACCCAATTCGATTGGGCTCAAGCTCATTCGAAAATATGTGCAAGACCGGTGTGAGACCAGTGTACCAGTTTGAATGGGTCACATATTTTCTTTACTATACTGAGCAAGACCGGTGTAGTAACCAGCGTGCGAGTTCGGGCTTGATCAACATTGGAGAATTAACCATGTCGGATGGTTTTGAGCCGTCACCAAGGCTCAAATGCACCCTTCTTCCAAGCCCCCATATTCCGGGTGATTAAGTCTTTTAATGGCTCTTTGATGTTTACTATCCCGGGGTAAAAGGCCTTAACTCACCCCCGTTCAAGTCTTCCCTAGGAAGGGGGAATCTGACCCAGTCGGAGTAGGATGCATTGCGATGAACGGTCCTTTTCTATTTATTTTAATGTGAATCTTTTAGCTCCCAATTAGTTTGACGGTTCCGACTGACTCCCCGGTCAAACCTCATGAGTCCGTGTAAGTACGATTTCGAACCTTCTTCTAGGTCCAGCTTTCTTGCAGGCATACCGTACCCCTTATCTGGGGCCCCTCTTCCGGGTTTATTTTATACTGAGCAAGACCGGTGTAGTAACCAGCGTGCCAGGTCCGGGCCTGTGTCTCAGTCTTCCATTAAAATTTGCCAATGATCAATGTGCATATATGGGACCTACTGCACAATCACTTATCTCCACCATGCTCATGGGAAGTCCTCTCATTTTAAATAAAAATACGGAATAAGGTGTATGTGCAAGCATCTTTCTTTTGTAATTTTGCATGTGTCTTCCTTATAATTGTAGATATGGATCACATGCATGGTCCCCACCACTTGCACTCTCTTCCCAATATTTTCGTAACTTTTTTTTTAAATCCTCTTCATCTTCTGATCCTTCCTCGTGGCTTCTACTTCAAATCCTCTTCATCTCTTGATCCTTCCTCAGCATAGTACCCTCCATTATTGTGAATGGGCCCATTCACATGTATTTATCTAGAAATACATCTGCCCATCAATCCCATAATCTCTTGCCATTCATGAACTTTTTAAAAAAAATCGGACCAGATCCCTTGTCTTCCTCCATGGATTTTATTTCGAAGCTTCCTCTCCATCTTTTTTTGCACTACTCCTCCGTGCATGTTTGTCCTCTTCCTTTTCTAGAGGAATCAAGGGAGGCGTGAATATGTAGCCGACCCTAACGTCGTCAGATCCTTGGCAACAGCACCGGTTAGCTCCGGTGGTGGCGATGTCGGAATGCATCGGCTACGAACAGATCTAAAACGTCCTTTGATGAATCTTCTTCTTCCTCTTCAATCTCGACACGGGAGTGGTATAATATTATGACGGGCGTGAAAGTGGTGACAATTCTTGTCAGTGGTGATGAATCTAGGCAAAGCACCGGTCTTTAATACTCGATAGATCTTGAGCAAGGAACGGCGGACAACAATGAAACGGCGTATGAAATTGAGGATGGTGACCCCCACTCCCTTCCGTACGCAACAACAGAGGGGACGGTTAGCAAGCTCTGATGGCGATAGCTGCAAGGGAACCTTCATTAATTCTGAGTTTCTCCCTTCCTCTCCAACTGTGGTGCCGGGAGAACTTTCCAAAGTAGTGGTGGTCGCGGCGATGGAGGGGTTTGGGTCCTGGCTAGAACTCTGATGGCTCCAGCGGCAATGACCTCAGTTCTTAGCGGTGAACTCTAGGGACGGCAATGTAGAAGAAACAAGGGGTCGGCTTTAATGGCGATGTTGGATTGTAGCCGTAGAGACTCAGTCGGCGAGAGTGGCGCGTGGATTTTAGGAGCGAGGATGTCATCCCCCTCCTTGATTTTGGTGTTGGTAGCTGCAAAGTTCCAAGCGAGGATACGCAAGTACTTCCCGGTGGCTGTAATGAATCTCGACCTCCTCCCTCTCTTTCTCTCTCTTGGGACGTTCGTCATGTGCGGCGGAAGGTCTGAATAAGGTGGTGGGGGAGGAAAACTTGGATCGGGATTTCCTCCTCTCTTTTTTACTCGAGTCCGTAGTCTCCCAAATGACCAAATCTACTTCAAATTGGATTTTTTCTCTATTTTTGTCTGTGCTGACGAACAAAACGAGAAAATTGAAAAATTATGACTTTTTGCTCTGTCACACGGTTGGCACCAAAATGATGTTGTAAATTATCGATCGATATATCGTTTTTAGTCGGGCAAAAACGATAAACTATTCTAAAAAATACACCAAAATATAAACACGTGAATTTTGATGTGGAAACCCAAATCGGGAGAAAACCACATACCTTTTTTGGCGGTACCTTGCCAACGGGGGAATTTTATTAATATCGGGGGGTGTATACACGGCAAATGATTTAGGCTAGAAAGCCATCAATGGAAGTTTGAAAGCTTATTGAAGAACAAAAATTATAAATATCTAGAGAGAGAAAGTGAGATGCGCAGGAGGAAGTGAGTGCATTGGCCTCCCCATTTTGAGGGCAAATCCTCACTTTTATAGGAGGGAGGGGGAGCATATTCGGAAGAATATTCTCTTATTTCTTCATTTAATTAAACATGCCCGATTTGAGTCTTCTTTGTAAATAATTGGGAAATGTGAACCGGGCCACATATTATTTCCCATTAAACTCAATCAAAATGGTGAGAAGAAACAAGAATAATTGTGGAATTTTTAATTCTATATCATCTTCTTCAGTTACTCATATGAGTAACTTAAGTTTTAATTCTTTTCTTCTAAATTTTTTGGTATATTGTAAATTTTTGATTATGTGTAATTTTTTTGGTATGCTGTATTTTTTGTATGCTGTAATTATGTAATGACGGTACATGTGATGCATTCAACAAAAATATAATGACGGTAGAGTTTGAAAAAATATAAACATGAATCTGACTTTTCATCTATTGCAAATTTTTGTTTAGGTATGTTGTAAGAATCTCAATTTTTTCTGTGTAATGTATATATATTATGGGTATGTTTAAAGTATCCTCAAATTTTTTCATCCATTGTAATTTTTTTTGTATGCTACAAAAAGTTGATTTTTCGTCGTCCCTTTGAATTTTGGGGTTTAGGGTTAGTGTTTTCTAATTTTTGATGTCTTCACTCACAACTCCACGTTAATTTTAGGCAAAGGTTCCTGTACACGCTTTACGAATACTGATTTTCACTCTTACATGTCTTTACTCACAACTAGTGCATCACCCGTGCGATGCACGGATAAATTAAGTTGTCTACAAATTATAAAATTTATTTAATTTTAAATATAACTACTAACATAAAGATGTGTATTAAAAGTATATTATATTCAATACATGATGTTATAATGAATTAGAGTAAGCAACGTACGTTTAACATCAATCATACATTCTCAAAAATCTCCTTATAAACTACATTAATTGTAGTATTACATGGAGTATTATCAAGGCTACATTACATTATTTTTAATCCCTCGGGAGACCGTACTCTAGACATGACCACATACAATTGTCTATGGCTAAAAACAGGTTTTTTCAAGAATAAACCAACATGAGAAAGAGATTGTTCCTGACTTTTGTTTATGGTCATCGCATACGATACCATAATTGGAAATTGTTTTCTTTGAAACTTAAATGGCAATCTGGTATCTGATGGAGTCAACGAAACTTGCGGTATTAAAACTGTTTGTCCTGCATTTTTTCCATGAATCATCTTTGCATCCAATAGACGGTTATCAAGTCTTGTTACAATTAAACATGTTCTGTTGCACAGACCATTAGCATGATCAATATTGCGCAAAAACATGATCGGGAAGACGTATTCATATCATATGGCACACATTGAGAAAAAAATATAAAATAAATTAATGGTGGAGCCGGGGGTCTCTTGGAAACAGCCTCCCTACTTCTGAGTAGGGGCAAGGTCTGCGTACACACACCCTCCTCAGACCCTACTGTTGTGGGATTCACCTGGGTTGTTGTTGTTGTTGTTAAAATAAATTTGAAAAAAGAAGACCAATACCATCTGACATGCTAAAAGTTTTCGGTACATTGCTCAAATTCTCTTTGAATGTTGAAGTAGTTTCAATATGACTTTGATCATCGACACTATTTAATAGTGATTGTCCTTCAGTATCTCCTAACAAAACGTTTAATTAGGAAGAAAATACAAAAGAATTTATATATGATAATTTTTTTATTCTTTTATGAAATGTGTATAGTACAGAAACTTATTACAAACCTTCGATGTTGATATTACTCATATAAACAGTTTAAGGATTTCTAGATGTTGAAGCTAAGGTTCCGCACAATTCGTGAACGAATTATTTAGGTTTCTCACAACACGATGTCTCCCAAATAAGTTATTTGTTTAATAAAAATGGAGTAAATTTTACCCAAATTTCCAAACATATTATAAAATTTAATAACGTTGTTAAGTAATAAAATACATGGTGAGAATTACGCATCGTTAATCATTTATCGACTATAGTATAAACACTGTGTATAACGTAATAGCCAACCTTTAAGCTTTTCACAGTTATATAATACAAGCACTTTAATAAAATTATTTAGGGTAGTCTGTTGAATTTCTTGTTTAGCCAGGCCAATTTTGAGTTTTTCTGCCGTACAATCAACTAAATCAAAACAACAAAAAAGAAATTATATTTTCATAGTTTTTGGAACTGCATATTTTATATAAACGCAGCTAGAAAGTAGAATAATATGCATACTTATAAAAGATACTCCGTAATATACAGGTACCGTTTCTTATGTCACTCAAGTGATTTATTTGAACATGAGAGCTCTGTGGCTGTGATAAAATTAACGAACCGTGAATCTGGGAGGAACACAATTGCGTCGTATCATGAACATCACTACCTGTTTGAATATTTTCATTTAGTAAAAAAGACAATTATAAAAATCACAATCTTCCAAAAAACAATTAGTGATTATGTTTTATACAATTTAAAAATTATATTAAGAAATTGAATGTTTAAAATTTAATGTGCTTTATTTTCCATTAAACCCAAAACCAATATCTCCAGCCCAGCCCCAACACGTAAAAAAAATATCTCCAGCCCAGCCCATCTTATACTCTCATCTTCTTCTCCCTCTAGAACATGCATTATCTCCGTCGATGCTTTCCTGTGTTTCTTCTTCCGTATACTATGTCTCATATTTTTATCTCTTCCAACAAAATTTAATCTTCTTTGCCTTAGATATCGATGGAGTTGACCTCTTTTTTATATTACTCCTTCGTTTTGGGTGGTTGTTTTTGTATGGATCTATTTCTCCTTGTTCCTAATTTTTTGGTATTTTTCGTATTTGTTTGGGTTATTCTTAGATGTCCCGTATAATCTATTTCATCTTATTTACGTGTTTTTGATCGGCGGTCTCCGATGATAGACCAATTTTATAGATATAAGGATTTTTAGTTTCATATATTAAAATTTTGCATAAATAGTTATAGATATGCAACGCTCAATTTTCAGTTTTGTTTTTTATTGATGATTTTGTGGAATTTGGGGTTCTTACATTTCCTCTATGTTTTTTATTAGATCTGTCTAGGAAGATGTTCTCTTCCTCGATCGGATTCAGAAAGGGTGTTAACAAAGGGAGTTTATATATTTATTTTATTATATTTGTTAATCTAAATCTGGCTACCATTAAATTTAACATACTGGGATTTTTTTGTTGGGTCATAAAATTTCTATTTGTATCTCTGTAAATTTAATAACCTGATTTTTTTCAATTTCTATATACCCTACTGCTTTGATATCTATCCATTTCAACTTAATCTGAAAAAAACCATTTAGTTTCTAAATATTTCTAAATATTCTCTGATTTTTCAATTATTATTGTTGTTACCAGATACAATCTTTATACATCAAAACTTGGAATGTAATATATATTTTTTAAAAAATATGTTTAAGTATTATTTGTTTTGCCTGGTTTTTGTGTATTCTGATCTCAATGGTTAAAAGTTAGATAATCTACCATAAAGATAATACTTTTATTTCTTACAGGAGGAATTTTATTTAAATGAAGTGAAGTACATCATGTAAGTTATTTCATATACATATCATACATTTATTTTAACTATAATGTGTCTTAAAAAAATCATAGCGTAACTAAAAATCTGAATTGTTATTCTTGATATTTCAGGTTTGTTCTTTTGTTAAGAAACTGCTTGAGATGCAAGTAAGTATAATTATAAATTACTGTATTTCATTAATTGGAAAATAATTGTTTTACTTAATATATCAAGTAACAGTTACTTTTTTCATGTCT